GGAGTTGGTGATGGAGAAAAAGATGTGTTGACGTTCCCTATGGCCAAGTTCCTTTTCTGAAAGCAGACTCTTCCTGAAGCTTGCTTGCGATGATGTTTATAAACTTCTCAAATGGGCCATCTTTGCCGCAAGCCTTGCCAGTGAACACTGAGAGCTCCACATCAATCTGAATTGCGGCCTATTGTTATCACTTTCCAGGTTTTCCCAGCAAAGGTAGCTGGAAGGTAATCGGATCTTCGGAACACAGAGCCCTTCTCACTCCCTGCCCAAGATATGGAGGCAGCAACACGTTGACTGAATTCAGCTCATCGAGTGAGGGTTAAGTGTAGCTGGTCTGTGTAGCTAAACCAACATACTCACCCAAACGTTCATTCTTTCATCCATTTTGTTTTCCAGTTTCAGTAATGCCAGGTTGCACATGATGGCTCTTAAATGTGGACCAAAAAATTTGCTAGACTTCCAGAGCAAAGCCATTAGCATCTGGGAGAGAATGATGGGTAAATCTACTAGAAATGGCCCTTCACTGCAATGTTATTTTTTCAACCCTTCCCAGAGCACTCTTATTAATATTTTTCCGTTGCCATCTCTAAACTTGAAGTCTTGAAGCAGCTTTTAAAATGACTGTGCTTGGGAAGGGATTATTTTAACAGCGGTATCATTGCATGCTGAAAGCGTCTCAAGATGAGTGAGATCCTGGGTTCTCCAATCGGCTAAAGAGGTCAGCACTGGAATTTTACACTGAGTTGGTGGTCTGGCAGTTTCTCTGTGTCTCTTTTGTTCTCCCACTTCCCTGAGCCAACGACGCCAACTGATATGTCAGAGATGAGGAAGAAATGGCTGATAGCTCTAGCCCCAGCAGTGCCATTAGGTGGCATGGGCATTGCTGAGTCTGTCATCAGGAGCTCTTCCCCCGTCCAAATAAAAAGAGATACTGCAGATCTAGACCTATAAGAAAAGGAGGGCACGCCGAGCCGAGTTGGGGGCGGTGTAAGCCGGGATGCTGGGTGGGGGTTAATATATGGTGTCAGGCGATACCATGTGGGGGTAGTGAGACCACAATTGGGCACAGGGCATCCAAACAAAGGGCATCCTGCACATGCAGTCAGGACAATTGGCTGCACTCATTTCTCTTTTGATTTGACTTTTTTTTTAATTTGGTTTTTGATTTATTATTGTCACGTACCAAAATACAGTGGAAAGTATTGTTTTGCATGCTTACCAGACAAATCATACCATACCTAAGTATATTAGGGTAATAGAACAGAATGAAGAATATAATGTTACAGCTGCAGAGAATTTGCAGAGAAAGATCGACACTGATACACAAGAGCTCTGTTCATAAGTCTGATAATGGTGGGGAAGAAGCCGTTCTTGAATCTGTACGTGTTTTCAAAGTTCAGCACCAGACCGCAGTAGCAGGGGAGGACGACCTCAAGTGACCCTTAAGTGACCACTTAATGGTCTCAGTTGACCCCCTAAACTTTCCAATGACTGCAGTCAGCATCTGAGCACCATCATTGCTCTGCACTGCGCCCCCTCCCAACACCCCAACATTCCTATCTCCCCAGGATTGGTGAGCCACCCAAGCCACAGTTACTTGTGCCCGTGGCTCATCCATTCTCCCCAAATAAGAACTGTGAGCCAACTCCGATGGTGGTCCTGCCATCTACTTTGTTAGACCGGTTTCAGCCAGGTTGCAGTTCCTAAAGGTTATTACTATGCATATTATTGGGAAAGCAGACACTCTGAAATCTCAGTACAGACATTTTAGTTTTTTCGATAATTCGGTTTGATTACAAGTACTTCATCGGAGCACACTTTCACTGTTTCACCATCTAATGCCATCCTTATCAGAATGACACACAGATATCCTTTCTTCAGACACCAGTACAACACACACGGGTTTCGGTAACAGTCTCCTGGAGGCTGTGTCTTTCCTGGTGCCTGTCATCACTCCATGAAATGCTTTCCATTGACTGTTAATCATTGCTACTTCCTCCCGTATGTACTTGCCTCAAGCCATCTTCCATCTCTGAAAAGAGTGTGCACAGTGTTGTAATATACACTACTGCTTTGTTTTGACCTATTTTCATCCATTTGATACAGTGTCAACTGATGTGTGTTTTCGTCACCCAGAGGGTGAAATTGAACAATACAGATGGCACAACATGTCTTTGCTGGATTAGCTGCTGATTCATAAAATTCACCTGAAAACCGGCTCCATTCATATACCTGAAGAATGGAAGATCAGCTGAGGTGTCCCATGCCACTGTCAATACTGTACTTTGTTTGTACCCTTTTCTCATATTGGCTACATCGGACCTTCCCATATTACAGGCCACGCAAATACAGTGACGCTATTGGATGCTCTGTATTCATATAGATCCCTTCACCTTGTTAAATGCCCACTCCCTATTAAATGCCATCCCTCTATCTTGTCAGGAGGCCCCCCTCCCTATTAAATACCCTCCCTCTATCCTGTCAGGAGCCCCCTCCCTATTAAATACCCTCCCTCCA